TGAATTATGAATGTGTTTATACCTTGTGAGGAAAGTTTAATTAAGTTTTATATCTTAAAGAAATTGCGAAAATTTATTGATCGTCAGAAAGTGTAATCTTTTTTTGGCAGCTTGAGAAATTATCATTGCTCTGTAAAAGGTTGATGAGCAGTAGAGTAAGACGGTTTTTTTTTAATAATTTGGGAAAGAAAGTAAGTTGTATTGGATAAAGATAAAGTTTGACAAGAAACATGTGATTGTGTAGTAATAACAAAAAAGTAGAATGCAAACGTTTTAGTATTGGAAATAGTTTATAAAGATGTTTTTGAAAAAAAACTCAGGTGTCCTCTACTAAATTGGGAAATATATAAAACTCAGTCGATGTTTTCACTTTTGGATCTTTCCGGTACGCAACTTTTTCTTTAATTGATTTGTAATTGATTGAAACAACGGTGGGTGGATTTGAATGTTTAGCATAAACAAGAAAGTCATTAACATATTCAATTCGATCAAGAGAAAATGTATCAAAACCTATAATTTCTGCTTGATCAATGATGAATATGATATCTTTAGTTGTTTTTAATTGTATTATACCAAGAATTATTCCGATATGAAGATTATTGAAATGATCGAAATATATAACAGCCGAGTTATCCACTTGTTTACGAGTTGAATGCTGAACTGTGAAAGTCACATTTCGATCAAAGCATGTTGAATGATGAGTGTATTGATCTTTTGCGTATATGTTTTCGAGATATTCAGTGACATGAGGAAATGCAGAAACTGTTGAACGAGATAAACAAACAACATTGTGTAACATTAGAGATGTTGGTATAGCACGTCGCTTAGATGAAAATATTTGATGGATCAATAATGCAGTTTTTGGATGGAAAGCAGGATTTTTAAAAATAGTTGTTGCATAAGATAGATGCTCGAAATTGTTGATCAATTGTTTGAAGATAAAAGACGGTCCATATATAGATTTTACAAATGATCCTAATAAAAAAGAGCAATGGTCAGTAAAATAATCAATATTACTATTAAATATTTAGCAATATATGTTTTCAAAAATAACTACAAACAGTTTTAAATGATGCATAGGTTGCAACGGGTAACCTGTACGTACCGACTGTACTTTCAAAGTTGAAAGTGCTGTAATTATGAATAGGACCAAATTTGACTAAGGATTGATGAATGTGTGAGAGCGAATGCACAATCGATACACAATTAGACGCCTACAAAATATGAGAGGAGATAGTCAAATACTATAGGAGGTTGATAATGAATATCCGAACTCCGTATAACACAGGAAACTCATCAAGAAATTTATTTAAAAGATGCTTGATTTGATCCAAACGAGGTGTTGTTAATATTCTTGTTTCCGAGAAAATAGCAGCATAGACTAATAATCGAAAGTGTTCATAATATTTCTTTTTCATCACTTGTTCAAATGATCTATCACATGGAAATTTTTTCTTTTAATGAATATTTGAACATAGATCATACATACTTATATCCAAAAAGTAATGTCATTCTAAATTCATTAGCCTTCCACGTTGTGTAATACTTTAATGCACGTGGTAATCTATTGGTAGTTGGATAACGGATACATTTCAGTAATTCCTCCAAGCAAGAAAATTGTTTCTTAATTGAATAATCTACTCTAACTGCATCCAGCCATAAATGCATTAACTTTTTCTATAATTATAAATAAGAAAACATTTTCTTTTGGCAAAATTCTTCATTTTCTTACGAATACTCCAGCATATAAACCATGTAGAGAATCAAAACAAAAGCTGTTGCCAATTTCAAAATAAGTTAATTGACGTAAAGCACAAGGACCTGCATGCCCGCATGCTCTATCTTTTGATGGATCTTTTGCTACATAATTCTAAAAGAGAAATATAGATAAAAAAAAGTAAGAAATAAGTAGTCGGATGAGGCTTTCCACCGTATTTAAAATCTTCATAAAATGATCATATGTCATGTTATTTCGAAGCATTGCAGGGGTTCTACTATTGTTAACAAAGCATCGTGAGTTGGATGAGTGAGTTTCACCTATATATACAAGTATGAATAATTTGAGAAATGGATATTACATTAAAAAAAAAGACAGTTAACAAAAATCTAAACTTGATCAAAAGATTATACTGCTAACCTGGTATACAACACCAACCACAGCTGAAGAATCCTGTAGGATCTTTAATATTCATCATGATTGCTTGTGCGGGTTTATCGCACACTGCTGCAATAGTGAAAGCATGGAAATGTGTGTAAGTTCTATTATGAGTTTTGACAGTTGATGGAAGTAAAACATCAAAACCAACTTGTTCAAGAAATTTTAACTCATTCACAATATCTTGTAATATTGTTGAATATTCATCTTTCTTCGGTTTTTCATCTCCAGTAGATATAGAACATATTAGAATATTGTTGATATCGTAACTTTTTTTTCGAGGCAACTCATTTATACAAGCACATGTAATCCATAACGATCGAGATATTCGTTTTAGAAGGACTCCGTCAGTGTTCAACGTGAGAGTTACATTATTTCTGGCAGGATTATTTTGCTTTTCTTTTCTTGCTACTTCCTGAGCACGTTGAGAGTTTGATAAATCGTCACATTGATTTGATTCATAAGTTGGCATGATAAGACTTTCTCGTTCAAGAATTGAACAAATTTGTGGTGCTAAAGGAAAAACGACAACTGATGTTGGAGTTCGTACAAGAGAATTCGATGACTGACATCTAGTCAAATTGCATTTTGAAGCATTTCCACATTTATTGCCGCATGAAGGACAAATAAAAAAGTGATTTCCTTCGAGTAATGTTGGATTATTTTTTTTTAAATGTCTCATTACTGCACGAAAATCTTTGGGCATGTTTGGAATATTGAACATGTTGATGATACGACATATGCCATTTGCAGCAGCTTTACTTATGTTATGTCTTTTCCAAGTAAAAAATAACATTACAGACAATTCAGTAGCATCAGGCAATCTTTCATTTTCGAAATAATTGTCATAGAAGTTGTTTTGAAAATCCGGACTTTCCTCAATACCATCATCTTCACTTTCATCTTCATCTTCATATTCATCTTCATATTCATCTTCATCATGTTCATCATCATCAGCTTTATCTCCATCATTATCATCTCCTATATTATTACGATCGTTATAGAATCGATACAAATCATCAACTTCATCTTCATAATTATTATCATTATCATTATGTCTTTCTGATGAATGTTGTTTAGTTGCTTCCTTTAGAATTGAATCTGATGCTGGATTATATTCATCATGTTTCAATGTTGATGTTATGCCATCATCGAGAAGCATCCGTTGATCAAAGGCACATGCTTCATCTTCTCTATTAAGAGTAAATGTTATAGTATAAACAGTAGAAAAAAATATGAGTAAACGTACGGTGTTTCGTTCAAATCATCAGTTGTCATCATTTCCATTATATCAAGCTGATTTCTTTCTCGAATTCGAGTACGATAACGACTAAAGCGAGATTTTTTATCTACTATCATTTGTATCTCAGTATTATCTTCGTCACTCATCTAAAACGATTCTTTCTTTCACATTGTTTCATAATATTTCATCTATTTTTTTTGTAAAAATATGTAAATCAAATAATGGGTCATTTTATGAATCTCTGATGTTTAGACATATAATAATTACGTTTTAATTATTACATAAATCTGATGTTTGTAATTGTAAATCATAGAAAAGAACTTTATTGTAAATAAAAAGCAAAAGAAGAATAACATAAAATATGTCTTTGATTTTTCATTAAAATATCACTGTGAATTAAGTAAAGTAAATAAAACTAAGCAAATAAAACTAAATATGAATAAAGTACAAGTGCTTGATCGAAAAAACATCATTAAAGAAAATCAATAAATAAAGCACTTATATGTCAATACCAAAGACATGAGAATTATTCTTCTTCGTCGTTACTTGAATCATCAACTACTTCGCTTGTTCGTCTACGTGATTGGAAATCGTTCGCATGACTATTCGATTCATTTTCTTCATCGTCATCATCATTATCAGAATTATTTTCTCCATCATTATCATCATTATCAGCATCATTTTCTTCATTATAATTTTGATTCATCAGTAAAGCTCCATGTGTTCGATGAGATAAATTGCCTTGTCTGATATTAGCAGCTATGTCGTTTCGCATTTTTTTATAATCTAAACTACTTTTTGGATGAGACAGACGAGCAAATGCTGAAATGAAAAAACAGCAGAATAAGATCTTTTTCATAGTTAAATCAGTAGTTTTTATCGTCTTTAAAAATATTGTTTTCTCGAATAAATCAATAATATTAAAAAGAAAGTAATCACTATATTTAGTTTTCTATTTGTTAATAAACTAAAAAGAATTTACCGTATATATTATCAAGTGTAGATGTTGGAACTCTCTTTATCGATCGCACAAATACTTTATCTTCAATTGTTGGACATAACTTCCTCCAAATGTTCATAGCAACCTTATCGGGCTTGTCGGTATCACGTTGCACATATTGAATCATATTGTCAGTTAAACCAAGTTCGCGTCCTATTTCATGAATAGTACGACTATCTCCTTGATATGAATCACCATGAGACTCCATAAAAATCGATAATTCGTTCCAAAATGATGTACGAGGTTTGACTAAAAAAAACCGAAAGTGAAATGAATTATTATTTGAAAAATCTTCAATAATAAAAATGACTAATAACATTGCCCTTTGATAAAATGTTACAAACGATCAACAACGAAATTTCAATGAGTAGATTACAATACAATTTTATTCATTAAAAACTCTATCAGGTTTTCATTCATATGGTACATCTATCTCCTTTTGAATATAATGAGACTAGAAGGGTATAGGAGTTTACGATACAGTATTGTTCTATAATATATTCTTACGATTAGTAACGTTATAGCAGAATCTGTGCGTAAAAACATAACGATTATTATGTTGATCGATTTAATCTATGGCACATATGAATACAACTTACGTATATGTGTTTCATTCATTTTTTTTTCGCTCCTTCCGTTCTTTTGAAAGAGCCTCTTTCAAATTATCAATTTTATTTAACAAATCTTTGTTTTTCTTTTCTAAATCTCGGTATTCCATAGAGTTTTTTATATCTATTGGTTTCCATTGAAAATTATTATTTGTTGATGATCGATTCATAGTCGATGCACTATTTATAGTCGAAGAACATATGAGCGATCGATCGATATTAAAACTGAAATATGAAAAAATCAAAAACGATAGGAAGAGTTAAGAAAAAAATCCATACTTGTTGCTACACTGATTCGAGTTATAATCCATATGTTTATTGGTTGTTGTTGACGTTTCCAATGTAATTGTACTAAAGCTTTTAAAGTAAGATATACATAGAAATATATTATCAGGATGTTACCTTTGAGATATATATGGTACTTTTGTATTTGACGTTGTTTGAGACAAGATATTAGAACTAAAAATAGAAATAATTAAATTTCAATACTTGGTTAAGTATTTCTCATGAATTTTTCTATTGAAAAGAATACTTAAAAATTGTAAATTCTTTAATATGATTAATAAGTAGAACTGTTTTCTTATGCTCCTTCAATAGATTTTCTCTTTCTCTTCATACAGTTTCTTTTCTCACACACTTTTAGAGTCAGATTATAATATGAACTGTCATACTTTCGTTTCTCTAGTGTATTCAAACTGTTTATTTAACCACAGATGTCATTTTTTATTTATAAAGCTTACTCCTAATATAATCATAGTAAACTGAACAAGATTCTATCTCACAAAGAAAATAAATCTTTGTTCTAACGATAAACTAATGGAAAAGCGTATTGAACTGTAATGCTCGATACGGTGCATATTCAGAACGACGTTATGCATTAGTTCGATAAAAAAATGTAGAATAGATGTTGAGAATTGATAAGAACTATTTGTGAATTATACAAATCACAAGTATAATAACAAACTCACTTTTGATTTGACTTTAGATGATTTTTTGAACCTCTATTAGTCGATGCAGGTGTCTTATCAATCTGTCTAAATTCCGTAAATTAATAAATGTTATTTCAGTAATCGTATTAATGAAGTTTAAATATCTTACTCTGATGCTGCAAGTGTATTTTTGTCCATATGTTTAGAAGAAGAGGAAAAAACGATCACAATTATTCTCACCAATCATTTCACTAGACCTTTTGTTAGTTAAAGATTGATCAGATTGATTTTTGTTATGCAATAAAATCGACTTATTCAATTCAAGACGTTTTTCAGTATTATTTGGTGTTGATGAGAAGTGTGGACCATATGAAGACGTTGTTAATGAAACATTTGATGATGAACAATCAGCTGAATCATTCGAACAAGAATAATTGATTTCACGTGATTTTGTACTGTTTGATAAGCCATTGTTTGGTAATTCATGATTTGGATTTTCTGTTGATTCATCTAATGTATCATCTTCATCATCATCTTCAATGTTCGAAACAACTAGAAATGAAATAATTTCATTAAGCATATTTATTCATAAATATTTAATAGTTTCTTAATACTTGTAAAACTAACCTTTTGTTCTTTTTACATTGTGATAAAAATCATTTAAATGTTCCTTTCGTTTTTTCATAACTTTATCCGTCTTATCGAAGAATTCCTTTTCATTTTCATCTGCAGCATTTACGATTGGATTAAGCATGCTATTATCATTGTCATCAAAATTATTTCCAGCTGTTGTCGTTGACTGACTTTTCGGAATATTTTTTTTGTTATAGTTTTTTTTTGCCATAATTGAATACTGAAAGATCAAACAATGAGGATCGACCAACACGTATCAAGAAGTGAATGTAATAAACTTCCCTAATTTTGATCAAAAGTAACTGAAATAATAATAATAAAAAGTAGTTGTGCTACCTAAAAATTAAAGTCATCTCTATGCTAAGTCACATTCATATTTTCAAAGATAATGAGAAAAGTTTGTGATTATCTCAATGCCCAACTATATTGATGAAATCAAATGAATTCATACATTATATTTAGGTCTAAAACATTTCATTCCATAAGTAATTTTTTTCTGTTCTATGCTTTATCTTATGTATTTATATACATACACCCATGATATAATCCATATTTTCTACTCTTTCGAATTAAATCCCAACACTTTTGTAATAATTAATCATTATTTTTATATCTACCCAAAGTAATAAATTTCAGTAAAAGTACAAAAAAAGTAGAAATTTTTCCAAATGCTTTGAAATAACAACTATCTTGTACTAATAGTATATGCATGACCTCTATCGGTAAAATGCTTTAAGTTACCATCAATCATTATCATTAAAAATCTTATGTGTACCATTGAACTGTCTGGACAGAAGAAATCTTTTAAAAATATGTAATAAAGCCTCGAGTACTCTAACAACACGATAATAAAGTGTTTAAAAAAAAATTAACGCAATGTCATATATGTATCTAAGACAAAGTTTTATTACATTAAAACTTGTATTCTATCAAGAGATACTACTTGATTTGTTTTCATATGTCTTTTGTCGTTTCAAGTTACACTATTATCTTTTGATCACAGCCACCCTCAGTGACTTTCCATTACTTAACCACATTTTGTACATATGGCTACACTTTTAGTTTGAGTTTGTCAACGGTTACCCTTTTACCATAGCGTAAACACTCATGTTAACAATCATCCAGTAAATGGCTATATCCATATTCC